CGGAAGCAATCCATTTCCAGCTTCCATTGGGCCTCCGAGGGACAGGGGTGGCCATTTTCACCCTCCTCAGGATTCAAGAAAGCCCCCGGAGCTTGGGGAGGGCGAAAGCTCCCCCCCAATGTGGGGGAGGGTCACATGTGCATGCTTGGGGCGGGGGTTGCACGTGCATGCACGGGTGGTCGGGGCACACTGAATTGTGGGTGTGGCCACACACGTGGGATAGTGCACACGCACAGAATTTTGGCACGTCTTTACAAAAAAGTTAGCCATCACTGCCTTAACCACTACACCAGATTGGCTCTCTGTATAAACTTATGTAGGGCCTTATTCCATTTACTAGCTTAGTTCTCCTCTTGATTAAGTAGCTCAGACCAGTATTGTTCAACTTCAAAAACCTATAAGATGTATGGACTTCAACACACAGAATTCCCCAGTGAGCATTCAGCCAGGGAAATGAGGAAGTTGAGAGCCAAATGTCTTAAAATTGCCAAGATTGAGAAACTCTGCACTAAGAAGAAAAATAAATAACACGAGTTTAATAGGAACATGTTTTGGCTGCTTCAGCTAAAGAAGACTCAAAGTAATCCCCCAAACTTTAGGGTTGATGACCTTTTTTGAGTGTGTACGTGTGTGTGTATAATGGGTGTTGTCACAAAATGCCTGCCACATTTATTGTGACTGATTTACTGATTTACCTTTAAGTGAATGGTTACTATTTAACATGTAACCATTCACTTAAAGTTAAGTCATAAGTGCTGTGTCATAAGTGCTGTGGCCATATACAACTTTTAGTTTATAGGAATATTAATGAAGCCTTTGTGAGGAAGAAGAGGTGATCTGTTTTTTTTTTACATTTCAACATTTTATTGGTAGATTATAACAATTACGATGAAGTACAACTAAAATATAGCATTGCTAATATGACCAAAAATATACAAGGTAGTAAGTAAATAAGTAAGGTTTAAAGAAATTAAAGATAAATAGTAAAATATCAGAAGCTGTAGAAATTGAATAAATAAATAAAATGCCAATATAGAACAAGCTCAATCCTTTAATACATTAAATCTAGCCATATAGACTATTGTTCCATCTTCTGGTTTAATGCAGTCTTTCTGTACAATGATATTTATGTTGTATACTTTGATTTTAAAATTGAGAGGTGGTGTATTGAGACATATTAGATTTTATGTTTATTTTAATTAAAACAATTGAAAATGTTAAAAAAAATAGGTAAGACTTGGTGTCTGGCAGAAGCCAAGCAAGGTGTCTGTAAATTCCCCTGAAATATTTATTCATGTAAAAGGCATAAATAGAGTGGGATTTACTTGGGACTAAGAAATAAATATTTTTTCCCTCTCCAGACAAATAGGGCCTGTTCAGAAATGTGTAAAAAATCAAAATTTATAAAGTTCCAATAGCTAAGTAATCTATGACAAGGAAAAATTGTGTTAGGTAAGCTCCCTGTTGGGAGAGTGAGTGCGTTCAGAGAAGTGTTGTGAGAATGGTGTTGGAGAACACACAAACCAGCATACAGAGACACTGCAGTTTAAACAGGCTTTTACTTTTGTGGA